GAATTATAATCTACAATTGATACTAAACTTATGACATACATTCATAAAATAGTAGTTCAATAAAAGTTTGAATGAGAGTCTACAAATGCAGCGACATGGCCTTTGACCCATGACCATAGGAAGATGCGCGCCACTAGGGTTAAAATCATAATTTGAAGAAATATTTAAAACTATTGTACAGTCTCCTTGTCTATGAACCAAATAAAGAATAAGGTTTTATGAGAAAAATAAGAAGGAAAATGTTTTTCTGTTGTTATAGGGTTTGTTTATATGAATACCAACTGTTGGCATCATGTAATGCCACTTACCGTCAGCCAGACCTCCACCACTCCTGCTAAGGTCTAGTATTTAGCAATGTACATTTTGATTTTGCCACTGACAAACATGAGACTCAAATGCAAAAGTCACTTAGTGACACAGACAACCCAATATAAGAAGCCCTCACTGATTGTGCAATCACTTTCTTTACAGTTACCAGCTTTTGGTTCTGATATTCTATGCATTTCTTATACCAGTAAATTTGGCACTTTGTATTCTCAGACCCTGCATCACAGGTGAAATATGTCCCCCCAAAAAAATTTATAAGGAAAATTAGAAAAAGAAATTAGCAAAGATGCAATTTTCAGAAGAAAGCTCAACTAACCTCAAATTTCCTACTTGTTTTTATAAAAACTAGTAGAAGCCTGATGATGACCCCTGTCAAAAATGATGACAATGGACAGTGGTAAGTATTGAAAGAACTTTGAATTTTATGAAAAAATAAATATGAAGCCTAATCTATCATTTGACTTACTTCGTGTCGCTGAGTAATGCCAGTTTTGAAGAATTACACCTTCATCAGTAACCCTGGACAAGAGTAAATCAAATGAATAAGACTAGGCTTCATACAGTGGTGTAGTGTTTATTATATTCTTGGTTTAATAAATTCTTTCTTATTCAGATACAGTAACAACATATTGATTATCCTCTGACCTAAAGTAAGCTAATTAAGTATAAATGAAAGCAAAAAATGGAAAGTAAACATGAAAACAAGAAAATAATGCACTGACTTATCAGTTGTGTATGATATTTTCAAACAATTAGAAAGAAAAGAGTCATGCATATAGGAAGAAGTGCTCATTTATCCTCTTGTTTTCAGAAATGTGACAAGAACAGTTTGTTATAATCTTCATAACAACTTGTATCTATTACTACAATGTTACCATTAATTTATGAAACATACTATCTGTCCTATGACAATGAACAACTTACTTCTGTTAATGTTCATGACGAGGGACTAGAAAATATAGTAGGAAGATGAATAGTTGATATAAAACAACATTTCAAGCTCTGAAGTAAATTTTACTTACACCGCAGCAAAAGTAAAACGAATTGTTTGATCAGGTCCAGCACATGCACAAGGTGAAGGAAACAAATTGTTCGATCAGGTCCAGCACATGCACAAGGGT